GGAACTCTCCCAGATTTCTTGTACGAGAAAGACATTGTGCCAGGGGAAAGCGTTGACCTGACAGGAGATGTCGGCCTTCCTGACCAATATGATACAAGTAGCAGTGCGGAAGAAGAAGAAACCGAAGACCAAGTAGGAGAAGGATCTGTAAGGGTCGCCACTTTGGATGGTGAAGCAAACTTCCTGCTTGGAAGGGTGTCCGCATTTGGTCGTGCTGTTAGATTTAATAGCAGGTTTATGTTTTCTTAAAAGAGACCAGTGTGTCTATATACAATTTCCATGTCCTAAACTCGATGTAAACAATTGACAGAATTGGCTTTATCGCCTGATGGAAACTAGCAGCAAAGCAGTCGAATCTTCGTAAGACAGACAGATAACATCAATCTATCTAATTCCAAAAATACTGGTATCGAGGTAAACATGTACCGATGCGAGGACCAAAAAATAATTAAGCAAAACAGAAAATAAAGTTATGGTCGCTAATTGTGATGTTGAGAACCTGGACCATCAAAACCGACAATTGATAGAAGGTAAGTCATAATGCCTATTTCAATGATCAAGCAAAACATGTCAATAACTCGTAAAAAAATGGGGCGGGATCGGGATCCGGGCGTAAAAAGGGGCGGGATGGCGGGATTGGGAAGAAAAAAATGCGGGAAAGCGGGATTTGAGAACTCCTATTGTGGAACCTCATACATTTATAGTTTCCAGCATCCTGACGCCATACATCTGTGATAACTAGTCCTTCCTTTGATATAAAACTCCTCCCGGCGGGAAGTTGAGTTCCTTGTCTTTTTCAGCTTATCACTGGGTGCCCGTCTCCAGTTACACGGCAGTTCAACTTCAAGCTTTTCCCGGGATGTGCTGCTACTCTCCCGGGTGGTTTAACAATAAAATTTCGGAAGAGAGACCACGAAAAGCAGAGTTTTTCCTACTGTTCTTCCGAGGTTTGATGCCGTACACATATAGTTATCAGAATCATTGCGACGAACGTCCAGTATTGTCAGCCTGCTGTTGTTGCTGTTCAACTGAACTCTTCCTTGTGGTAACTGACCAAACGGTCTGAGCCATTTGACATCTGGCCGTGGTTGTCCTGTCACGTGACAGATTGGAAGGGGTATGTTGCTTCCTGTAATGGCGAACATTGGTCTAGGATTAAGAAAAACACGCGGATGAGCTAGGATGAAAATTGATCATGTGCGAACATAGGTTATTTCCTACCCACAAACGTTCAAGAATAATTTTGGTACTCCGGATCAATAATGTATGTTCTAAATCATACATTCATGCCACTTTCTGAGCGCTTAACTTGCAGCATTGGGTAAATGAAAGCAGCCCGGCGAACCTTTTCTTATGCACTCGATGGGTGGTTGAAACTCTTAACTAATCGTTTGTTGCATATTGTACTACATCCATTTTGAAATCACCTTTTTCTGCCCTCAATTGCGTCTTCTTCTCAGCGAATCAGAATGCTTTATCAAGATACAACCAATCAGATTTCAAGCTTTGTTTAAAGACACCAATCAAATTGTAAGGAAACGAAAAACAACTTTAATTTGCAACTTTCTACAAATCAGCTCATTACTGGATCAATAAAATATTTGAATATACTGAAAAATCCTATATCTGACGACTGAATTTTGTGATTTCAAAATGGATGTACATTGTGTTATTTGAACTGAGTGTAGTGCAATTTTGGTCTGAAATCATACGTGATTTCAAATCACGCATACGGTTTCAAACCACATTGCATTCCATTCAGTTCAATCACCATTTTTAATCAAGCATACAATGAAGAAGGAACATTTTATAAGAGCCTGAAGATATACAGCAGACATTCAAGTGACGACTGAACATACCATTGACTTCCAGTCGCACTATTTTCTGAGATTGTTCTAAGATGTTCACCGCTAAACATTGATAAATGCCAGCGTCACCCCATACAATATTTCTCAATTGCAGTCGTCCTCCTGAAACCGTCGATTGCTCTTTTGCCGATCCATTTAACAGTCTCACTCTGCTCCACTTAATTTTCGGCTTGGGATTACCACTGATTGAACACCAGAAAGCCGTTGATTCAGTCTCGTTCACCATCCGAATTTCAGTAGTAACTTCAACAGTAGGCCTTGAAATCGATTCAGCAATACCTCACGGTACTCAGGGAGGAAATACGAGAGTAGAGTTTGCGTATTACCTTGAGTTCTTCATGAAAAGATTTGTAAGTTAAGGGCCGATGTTGCTTTAAAGATAAAAAGTGTTTACTTGCTTTGCTTGAATGTTCTTTAACTGTATTTAGGCCTGCACGAGCCGATCTTTGGCCTACTTATGATGTAATGTTCCTCTTCCTTTTCCGAGTAAAAGAAGTAGCGACGACGGAAGGAGAATGCTCACAATCAACACTTCAGCTACGCGTAAGAATGATTATCATGAATACAGAAAGTTTTAAAACGCATCAAAATAAAGGAAGAAAGACAATCATGAGTTGGACTCGTTCGATAGATCAACAAACATAAATCACGTGTTTAAAAATTTCAAGCAATAGTCAAGCCTAACTTTTTCCCATGTTTGTATACATGTATGATTTATCTTAACCCGATAGCAGTTATCATAACAACACAAAAAAAAGGTTCACTTGCTTTTCACTTCATTAAAAACCTTTCTTTAAGGTTTTGTAGATATTATTTTCAAATATATTTTTTTCATATCCATATAATAACAAAACCGATTTCCTGCTTGGGTATCCCTTATCCCTCGGGCATCCTTTAAGTGTCCCGAGATGAAAATCTATCAACACACAGCCACAGAAGAAATAATAAAATTTCCTGCCTTTTAAAGCAACTCTATTTAACCCTTTTACCCCCACAAGTAACCGAAAAAAAAAGGAATTTCTTCTTGCAAAATAAATACATTTTCAAGCTAAAAGTTCACAGAGAAAAGACAAATATCAACCATGGGATTGTCTGATTTTACACCAAATTTTCAGAACTAAACTTTAAAGAAGTGTATGGCAGACAGTAAAAGGGAATGAGTTTTGAATATTGGAAGTGAAAGGATCTAGAATCCAGGCTCGCACCCAATCCACCAATTACCCATCTCAAGCTTACTGCTACTTCTCAGTCCTTACTTTAAATTTGACACATTTTTATAATGAAACACTCAACTGGAGTGTAAGAATTTACACCAACCAACAGTTCTCCAAGAATGAATGCAAATTTCAATAAAAAAATGAGCCACTATGAAACCCTGCTGACATTTGTGCGCGAGTGTGTACAAGTGCAACTGGTGTAACTATTTGTTAAAGGGAGGATTGTAACTGTTCCAGCACTCTAAAGTGTTAATTGCTTTTTTCTTGGGTTCATAGCAGCTTCTAACTTTTACTATTCTTGGTCGTACGAGGTCCATGTCTGTTTCCAGCTCATGTTTCAGTTCTTTGACTCCATCTGCTCCCAAAATAAAGTTGATTAAGAAGTATCTGAAAAAAAAGGTGAAGAGAGAGAGGGATGAAAAAAAAAAAGCTTAAAAGCTAAACTCTGGGTTACTGGTCAGCTCCTTTATGTATAAGGAGAGTTGAAAAGTCAGATTAGTTATTAGTGATCAGTCATGTTATTTTTTTTTTTCAGGTAGCATCACAGTCTGTGCAGCACCATACTTGTGCAATAATTACTAAATTTTGTTTGTATTTTTTTTTTTATGAAGTAACATTGCCTATACCTTCTGTGAAAATTTTAAGGTAAATTAACAAATCTAGTGCTTCAGGGTTATACTTGGTACAGTAACTAAACTATGCGAGTGGTGGGGTTGATTCCCTCAAGCCACCCTGTGCTGTCCCATTATACATCAGACTTGTTTACCAGCCACAATTCTGGAAATGAACCAGCAGTCCTCCACAGGAGAGACCAGGAGGGACAGCAGATAACACCAAAGAGAAAGGCAGAAAGCACCTCTACAAAAAGCTTCAACACCCCTTCCCCTGGGCATTTGATCATCATCTATGCCCTGGAGTAGGGAATTTCAACCTTGCCTGATTGGGGTGGCTTGGGAATTTGAATTTGAAGAGTCAAGCCTTTTTCACAGGATACAAGTGTTACATCTAAAAATATAGAGTGTTTTGAGTTCTAGGTCACTTTGCTAGGTCACTTTCACAAGAAAATGACTGAGAAGAAAATGTCTACAAGGTCTAGGTTTCAATGCTCAGTCTTAACCAGGGTTTTGTGTACACAGACCAAATGCAACAAGGTGTGACCAGCCATTCCCCAAAGCAAAATAGTTCATTTTACAGTTGCCTGCTTGGTTGCCAAGCCTTTGAACAGGAGTGAGGCTAAGGGTGACCTTGTTATGGTAAAGACATTGCTGCTATTCAAATGTAGATTACTTTGTTATCATGCTAACTAGATACTAGTCTCTATCACAACAAGGTCACCTTCAGCCTCACTCCAAATCAAAGGCTTGGCAACTAAGTACAAAACTGTAAAATGGCATATTGGGAATACTATAACTACTGTGCAAGGTTATGCAGCAAAATGCAGTTGGACAGGATAATTATCTGCAGGGCAGCTATTTCTTTGACTATCTGGCCAGATGGACAGAAAAAAAATTCATCAATTGATGATTTTGTTTCTTTCCCAGCTTGAATACTAGTCATTCAGCTGACATGATTTCCCACAACTTTTGAGCCCAACAAACAATATAACTGGTAACAATAGTCAACTGCTTCTGTTGTTAAGTAATGCAAACAAATATCAAATCAAATGTACGGTGAAGTTTCTTAAGCAACACGCTTGACTCTCGCTACCTTCCATGTGTATTCCACTCATGATGCGCCCTCATTCTGTGAGGCAGTTCTTGCTCTCCAAGATTTTCCATTTTCTTTACAACACCTCCTTTATTCATTATAAATAAAGCTGTTCGACGAAGCATGGAAGCGAAACCCTCCTGTCAAAATAAAAATGAGTGAGCACGCAAATGAATCCAACCTTAGACTATGAGCTATAAACTTTAAAAATATTATCCTATTTTGGTGCTGCAGTTCTTCAAAAAATCCTTGCCAAAGTAACTTGAGGGGATGGCTCACCTTTGTTAGGCGTTTCGCTATTAAGGCTAACTCGTACTCTGGCATTTTTGCCCTTAAGTATGGAGAAAAAGAGAGAAAATACACTTAAAGGTTCACTCCACCGACTATTGCATGTTCAGCGACGATGTAGTCAGAAAAACGTTAGTAGGAGCGGATCCCCAGCTGTCCATTATCTCCTTCATGTAAGAACACTTGTCGAGTACCGAACAGGTCTGGAAAGTCTGCTAAAATGTCTGAGCAAGAGAGATCATTTATTGGCAAAGTTGCATTGATAACAGGTACATCCTTAACTAAATCCTTACCTGTGAAATGATAGAATTTTACAAGAGTGGGAAATAGTGCGTTTGTTGGTAAATCACTCAAAGTCTACGTACGAGTTTACTATTTCAGATATTTCCCACCTGGATGGCCCACGTACGCGTGTCGGCATCTCGGGGCTTTAAGTTCAAACCTAAATGAAGTCAAGCAGTGAACTTAAAGAGAACATTTTCTTTGAATTTATTCTCATCATTATGAGAATTATATAATATAAAGCTCTCACTTTAGGGAGAAAAAAGGAGATGTAAGCAAGTTTATCTTTCAAAAGAAGTAGATGCCCTGGGTGAGGCCCCAGTCAGGGGAGGGCGGGTGTGGTAGGTGTGTCCCACCCTTCCCTCCCCTCCCCACGTAATGTGCTGGTGACAGCCTCTTTGGTGGATTCAATTGTGGAATTTTCAAAAACAAACAGGTTAAAACAGATAAGTAGGATGGAATAGTTTGAAAATGAATCAGATTTAACACTGGTCTGATTGTATTTGGAAGGTTTTTCTTCAGACATTTTGTATAGGTCTAGTTACTTGATTTTGATTAAATGGCTGGATGAATATGACAGATAACTTTTGACTTTTTATGGAAATCAGGTGGAAGTTTAGGTATTGGTAGTTTGTATAGTATTAAATATGTTAATCAGTAGTTTCACTAGCAACCTTTGTGGCTTCCCTTGGTATTGATGTATGGGATCCTATGAAAATGGGTTCCCACTCCACTGATAAACAAACTCGTGATCAGTGGGTAAAAAAGGAAAAAAGCGTATGCAAGGGTGGGAATGAGTGTGACTTTTTATGGCAATCAGGTGGAAGTTCAGGTATTGGTAGAGGAGCAGTTCTTTTGTTGTCCAAACTTGGCTGCAGTGTGGCTTTTGGAGGAAGAAACAAAGAGGAACTTGACAAAGTGGTGGCCAAATGCAAAGAGACTAGAACTGATTCTCAGGTAACAACTGCAGCCTTGATTACCTGGGACAAATTGAGTTTGTTGGTATAAAAATTATTGTCCTTGTGGCTTGTGAAATGATATACTTTAATTTTTAGGTCCTGTCAGTGCAAGGGGATTTAGAGAAAGATGAAGATGTAAAAGCTCTTTTTGAAGCAACTATCAAAGAATTTGGAAAACTGGATATTCTGGTAAGTGTGTGTGAGTCTTTCCTGCTATAATATAAATGGAAAAATTGACTTTTTTATTATAGGAAATGTCTGCGAGGCCACTTACCTTTCTGAGCAGGACAGGAAACAACTTACCACTCGGCATACAGTCTCAGTAGGAGTAGTAATAAATTATTATACCTGTTTAGTGATAATGGAGTGATAATAGAACAATAAATATATCTCATTAGATGTTTTGGTGTGTAATATTGTTGAGTATTTTTACGAGTTGTGCAATATTTTGATGAGCACTTAGGGCAAGTCAGAATACAACCAGTGAGTATAAATATAAGGCAATACTACACACCAAAACATCTAATGAGTTTTTTATTATCCAATTGCTTTTTTTTCTGCCAAGTGTTTCTGCTCATCTCTCACACGGTGGAAAAAGCAAAGTGGATAAAGAAGCATAGCACAGAGAGCCAACTGGTTAAACAGCTTTCTTTACTGTTCAAAATAACCAACTGTACTATATCTGTCCTCTATTTGAGTGTTATTTGTACTCTACTTTGTGGAGTTGGGTAATAAGTGTGGTTTTCCGCTGGCTGAGGGACAAAAGAAGCAGAAAACGTTTTTCTCACATGCAGCTGGGAGAATGGGTTCAAGTGTGTGGGGGGTCTCCAGGTCACATGGCGTTTCAAGGATCAGTTCAGTTGTTTTGTTGCTTTCTGCCATTGCCTGACCCCACCCACCCACCCTCCATATGTTTTTAGGGATATAGGATTTCAAGTAGTGCCTTAGTTCCAGTTATTCGTGCATGTCAGTCTTCTATATCTAGTATGGAGGGGATTACTGGACAAAATTATTATTAGATTCTGTGTGAGGCATTATATTGTTTTGCATGGTTATATAGCCGGAGGTGCTATATCGTATCCGGTATGTTATCTTATCGTAATGGCGATGCCATTTTTGTCGTACCACATGCTGCTATATCGTGCCCAATAATGCTACATCGTATCCGGTGTGTTGTTGTATTGTAGGAGAGATGCCGTCTCATTGTACCTGATAATGCTATATTGTAGTCGATAATGCTATATCGTACCCGATGCATTGTTAGGTTGTAGCAGTGATGCCGTTTCATTGTACCATATGCTGCTATGTCGTACTCGATAATGCTATATCATAACCGGTGATGCTTTATCGTACCTCTAACTGGTCAGCGGCTTACACTTGAAGTGACGTCACGTGACCACTTGGATAAAAAGGTCAGCGTTTGTTATTTTAGGCTCATGGAGTGGCTTATCGTACTTTTTCTTTGAAAGACTTATTCCTGTAAATGGTGGGAAAGGTAATGATATGGAAGGCCAACGCCAGTCTCTGTTTGAATTGGTCTCCACAAATATCCCTCTAGCTCTGTTAATGCGTTTCTTAAAAGGGATGTGGTTCTTGCTACGAGATCTTGATCTGACATATCAATAGAATAAAGGAAAGAAACACACACCTAAGCTAAAATCTCTACTTGTCCAATACCGCATTTCAAGAGAAGTAAAAATCGAGAACTATCGCGTTCTAGAACACGTGATGTCAGTTTCGTACCAATTTCACCGTAAGCCGCTGACCAGTTAGACGTATGATAAAGCATCACTGGTTACAATATAGCATTATTGGGTACAACATAGAAGCATATGGTATGATGAAACGGCATCACTGCTACAACGTAACAATACACCAGGTATGATATAGCATTGTCGACTACGATTATAGCATTATCAGGTACGATGAGACGGCATCTCTGCTACTATACAATAACACACCGGATACGATGTACCATTATCGGGCACGATATAGCAGCATGTGGTACAACATAATGGCATCGCTATTACAATAAGAGAACATACCGGGTACGATATAGTACCTCCGGCTACATAACCATGCAGTACGATATAATGCCTCACAGCACACGATCTAATAACAATTCTGTCCAGTATTCCCCTCCATAATCTAGGCTCAGTTTCGGCTGTTTTGTTATTGTTGTAACCCCAATGGTTCATCGTGTTGATATAATAAAGGTCGGGCTGCATGGTCGGCTTGGCATGGCTCCCAGTTGTGTGTGAGAAGAGAATAATTATCACCCAGGGAAACATTTGATTTGAATGACATGATCACTAATGCCAATTAATAACCCCAATAACCATAAATATTTATTCTCCGTGCAGGTCAACAATGCTGGAATAGTTATACCAGGGACTATAGAAACAACAACACTGGAAGATTTTGACAAGGTTATGAGAATTAATATGAGGTATTTCAATTAATTTTTTTTTCTGAAGTCCTTTTACACATTGTTGTATCACAAGTGCACCAGATTTCAGTCAAACACAAGATGAAATAGAGCGTTAAAAAATTGTTGCCAAGGTGTGCAGGGTAACTAAAAAACTTGGAAGATAAAAAGTTATTAAGCAAATTTCCCTACTTTTTTGAATTTTTTTTTTTAAACACTCTTTGAATGCAGTCTTCCTTGCTTTTTACATGTGATTATATTATTAGTCAAATAAATTGTCATTTCTGGGCTTACCATTCAGGGCTGTGTTCTACCTGACATCACTGGCCGTGCCTTATCTCATTCAAACACAAGGTAACAATGTCATCGTCATGAAAATTCACAGAAATTAAAGTATCGGATAATGGACAAAAAATTTATGACAGAATGAAATATTTAATACTTTGTTATTCTTGCTCTAGGTTGCATTGTGAATGTTTCCAGTGTAAATGGCATGAGATCGGTGAGTTCATATATATATATATAAAATTACTGACTAACAGTTACTGATTAGCACTGGTTCTGGTTCTATTGGGAAATTTATGTGCATTTTTGGATCAGTTTTTTTCATGTATTGTTTTATTACCTGGGTGTATACCTGGTTTCAAAGGTACAGTTATTGTAAGAATACCCTTTTGATTTGCAGAAAAATAATTTCTCCACCATATTTGCTTCTTGCTTAAAAGCCAAGTATATATAACAGTTTTATGTATTTACTTATTTATTAGCAATATTTATGCAGGCTAGTTCAGTTCAGCTTCAAGCTGGTTTGAATGAGGAACTGTAAATTATTTGCAGATTGCATTAGAAATAAAGAGATTGAATGTGTCTTGATTTTTCTGTCTGGTAGATGGACATCTTCCAAGATGCCTTTTATTGATGGGCTTGCCATGCAACAGTGTGTTGTGTGACAAGCCTAAGCAAGAGCTGTTAAAAAAAAACAGAGAATCCTGAGTGTTTTTTGTCTTTCACTGTAGTTTCCTGGAGTGCTTGCCTACAACATGTCTAAAAGTGCTGTTGATCAATTTACAAGATGTGTAGCTCTTGGTGAGTGTGACCCCCCCCCCCAAAAAAAAAAAATGGCACAAGATATATGTATTCACAAACCACTTTTATGCAGCATCATAGCTTTTGTGAGTCCAGTGATTCAGTCAAGGTCAAATTAATTAGCTATTCTTTATGTCATGGTCCTGTTATCTTAAATATGACGTGACAAAGTATCTTAGTTTGGTTTGGCAACTTATAGAAGCAGCAACATATACAGAAACAACACTTTTTTTATTTTAAGTTATATTTTTATATTTTCTCAGCTTAATTTTAGAGCAAGAGGGTATTTAAAAGAAAAATTATAGAGTATCTAAGTGGTACAGAAAATTTCCTCAAATATTTTTGTCTTGTGATTTTCAGAACTTGCATCAAAAAACGTTCGATGCAACTCAGTCAAGTAAGTAATTTGTAATTCAGTTAACCAATCAGGGGCTCAATTAGTAACAGATCAAAGTAGAATCAAAATGTCATGCACAAACAAGGAAGTAACAAAACTTAAACTACCTTTCCTTGAGATAACTTCCTTACTCTCTCCCCATCCCCATTTAAGTGAAGTGTATCAATAAAACATGGTCGTGGAGCCATTTTGAAATGACTCTCCTGTAACAATTTTGAATGAAGTGTGAGAATTAATCTAGGAGTGCTCTGTTTTTGCTTTACTTCACTCAGTGGTTGAGAAAACTTGCACCACTCTCTGAACCAATCAGTCGCAAAAATAGGTAAATCCAATCACAACTTGTTTGCTCACGTTTTCCCGCGCTTTAGGCAGTTTGGGCAGTTTAACTTTGAGTTTTCATTGGCTTTTAAAGATATTTGCTTTTTACTTCTCAGCTGTTGTTCCCTCTTTTGTTTTGGGACACTCAATCGAAAATGCTGTCAGTAACCAGGGTTGTATTTGTTTTGCCTTACCTTACTTACTGGCCAAGAAAATTTAGGCTGCCTTCTCATTTACACTGGAGGCAAACCTCACATTTTATCGCGCTTCAGATAGTTTGCTAGTTTGTACGGTGTGATTTGTTTGGTTCCTTGAGAAGTTTTCTTTTGTTCTCATTGGTCTTCATGATCTCTTTGGTTTTGACTCAACGAAACTCGGTTGTAGTCTTACTCTAACATCTAGTAACGTTCTGCCCCTTAAGACAGGGTAGGTTATCGGTGTCAGAGAATTTTTTTTTATATTGCTATAAAAAGTCGTGAATGCTTCAACGATCAAATTGTAAAAAGGAAAGAAAAGCGTTCTTAAAGAACAAAGAAACATACAAACTTGCAAAAGAATGGAAGTGTTGTTTTCTCTCTAATCTTCAGTTTTCGTTTGCAGCCCTGGAGTAATAATCACTGAAATTCATAAACGGGGAGGTATGGATGACGAGGCTTACGCAAAGGTAAATTTATCCTCCACCAGAAGTCACACATCATGTATGTTACCTGATTACTTCTCCAGTGATGTCGCGAGTTGACCAAAGCTGTAGGCGAGGTGACTTATGGTGTCACTTCCCTTTTAGGCCGAAGTTCAACATTGTTTGGGAGTAGAGAGGGCAAAGAACTAAGAAAATCAAAGGCCTCCGTCAAAGGACCTTTTTTAACTCAGCTTCACAGGGACTTTTGCCACTGATTGTCGTTTCAACGTCCCAAGGCCAAAAACTGATACGTTTGTATTCGGTGCATTTTATGGTCTAATTTGTGTTGATTTAATTTCAAACTTTTTATTTGTTCTTTTGTGCAGTTTCTCGAACGTTGTAAACAAACTCACGCCTTGGGAAGACCAGGAAATGTGGATGAAGTATCGAGTGTGATCGCTTTTCTGGCATCAAGTGAATCCTCGTTCATGACTGGTGCTTCACTGCCTGTAGATGGAGGAAGACATGCCATGTGTCCGAGATAAAAGAAATACAAACTGAATACTCCTGCTTGTAAATGAAGAGTAAAACTTGTTAAATTTCCTTGGGAGGGAAGAGTGGAAAATTTGAATAGAAGGATACGTCTCTGTAACTGTGGCTTTATATGCAGAACTCAACATTATTAAGGGGTTACGGAAAAGAATCCGATCCCACCAACGCGTCGGCCAACACGTCAGAAGTAGGGACCTTAGATAGTAGGAACATGTTGGTAATGTGTCGGCCGACGCGTTGGTGGGATCGGATTACTTACCTTTACTGATAAAGGAATGTCAATGATGAGACAGTCATGATTTGCATTCAAACCGTTTTTTCAAACTGGCAGTGACAAATTAAAATAAAACCCGATTTTTCATTGTGCATCAGAAACGGTGGTGTGATCTCTTTATGATTATACTATTGTTAAATAAGGAGTGTCAATTCGTTGATATCTGCAGTCTTCAAGCGTGCACATACACGTCAAAATACAGACAAACTTTCATACATTGGATACTCTCGGGAGTAGGGAAGGTGTCCCCTGATTTAAGGACTCACTTAAGTGATTGTAAGAGATACAAATGTTACGGGAGTATTTTTCCCAAGAGGGACCGAAGTTTGTCCCTTTTTGGCCAGCCAAGTTTGTAGAGCATCGGACTGTTAAGACTTGTTAAACAAGTGTTCGCTGGATCGTATCCGCCAAAGTGCTTCAATGGTGCGCCTCTGAATTGGTTCTTTAAGTCCGGTAACTGTAGATCGTGTGATTTAGGTAAATATATGATGTCTTTCCTCTTCTTCTCACGACATTGAGTTACAAAAGATCAAAGAGATCTTAATACCCATATCTGATGTTATTAAAAACTGGATCATTGGATAATGCAATTCAAGACTTTTTATTGGCTTAGCCATTATGGTATATGAGCCAATATACCATAATTTACAAATATGGTAAACGTGCGCGTCGGGTTAAATTAAAAGGGAGCTAAAAAATTTAAGATTTGGAAGATTTGTCTAATATCTTAGGGGCGTTTTTTATAAAACAATTATTCCACGAGCGCTTGTTGGATATGAGACGATTATAGCCACCTCGGCGCTACGCGCCTCGTTGGCTATCTATCATCTCATATCCAACGCGCGCTCGTGGAATAATTGTTACACTTGCTGCAGTTTTCGTCTCCCTTTTCTACACCCACTTTACCTTCTCTTGTGAAATCCATCTGCATAGTGGGCAGAACGGTATGATATCTTGAAGCGATTGCACTGAAGGATAGAAGGCCCAGTTTATTTCTTAGTAATATCTCCCGTTTTTTCAGTTTCCTCGCTGGTTTCGTTCCACGAACCTTTATCCCATAATCCATCCATATTTCTTCCACTTTGAGGAGGATCAGTTTGGAAAATCAAAAATGGCGGCGGGAGGGATGTCTTTTGCGGGCAAAGTTGCTTTAATAACAGGTAGATTCTGAGCTCTTAAGCCACATGATTGGATATACAAGGGTGATTCAAATGAGAAAATACTCCATCTGCCTAGTTTTTCTTTCAATCGACCGTCTCTTATGATGAATCACTTACAAGGCAACCTCATCGTTAATCCTCTCTTCTGCTAGGCTACCTGTGTTGAGACTTTAATTTTATTAAATTTTGTCGAACCTAACCGGTTGGTTTTTCTCAAAAATAATTTCCAGCTTAGGTAATCAATTAGAGCAAAGGACTCACTTAAATTTTTCCAAATCACTTGGTAATTAGTAGTATTTAATATCTGGTCACGAAGGAAATATCTCTCGTATTTTTGTTTTCGAATTCTCGAGGGTGTCGGTGAATAAGTACACCTATTTGCGCATATCCTCTTGCTATTTACACTCTGACCGTTTTTGCATAATTCCGTCATTATTCGCATTATTACAGTCGGTGAGAAGCATAGTTTGTGAATAATAGATTTTATTGGGAGCTATTGCATGCTTATCTATGCAGGTATGACGTTAACGCGACCACTATTCTTAAAATTTAGGTGGCAGTTCAGGTATTGGTAGGGCAACAACTTTGCTGTTATCCAAACTTGGTTGCAGTGTGGCATTTGGGGGAAGAAATAAAACCAACCTTGAAAAAGTAGCAGCTAGCTGCCGAGAAGCAAGAAATGATGCTCAGGTAGCTTTGCAGTAGAAATATTAGTAGTAGAATAAATGCACTGAATAAAAAGGTGAATAGAAGAACAAAAAGAGTTAAGCAGATCTGTGGCTATTTTTTTCTCCCCCTTCTCTGGCAAAATTCTTGTTCTGAATTGGTGGTTGGTCCTGGATACAGTTAATTTGGTCTCCCTAATTTGAGGGAATTGTGGCCTCCTTTGTTGAACTGCCTAATAAGTGCTGTTTGTTTTCAAGTTTGAAACTTTTCAACTTAAGGTTCTTTCAGTACAAGGTGATTTGGAAACTGATGAAGATGTAAAGACGCTTCTAGGAACTACGATCAAACATTATGGAAAGCTAGATATTTTGGTAAGAAATTTTTTTTTCCTCTAATATCTCCAAAAAAAACATCATTTCTTTGCAAACTAATTAAAAAGCTACAAAGATGTGCTTACTTGATTGATTAATCTATGAAAACAGTTTGTACACAGTTATTTTTTTCATGTCTGACTCAGAACATAGATAATAATACCTGCTATACCTTAACTGCCAGCATTTATATTGAAGAATTTTCTTTCTCAAATGGTGAAGCAGATAAGCTGTTAATTGCAATGATCCATTTTCAGGTAAACAATGCTGGAATATCTGGTTTGGGGACTATTGAGAACACTTCCTTGGAATTATTTGATCAGATCATGAGAATCAATGTAAGGTACTGTATGAACTTCTAAAGGAATCTTTATAAATTGGTTTATCTCCTTATCACTGAGGATATTGGACCATTTTTCGAGTATATTTGGGCAGCTTAATTAATATTATTTTAATTATATTTTCAGATCAGTGTTCTATTTAACTTCCCTTGCAGTTCCATTTCTAACGCCAACACAAGGTTAGTTGTACCATGTTTTGGGTTGTTTTTTTCTTTATTAACATCAGTCATAAGGTGCAATCAAAAATTTTTTTATATTTCACTACATTCATCTTTATCCATAATTCCTATTTTGGTTACTTTTCTTATTACAGGCTGCATAGTTAATGTATCAAGTGTCAATGGACTGAGGTCGGTAAGTTGTACATCAATTTTAAGAGCTAGTGCTTGACTCATTGTGTGAAAAATATTTTTGAATGCTGAAGCAAAAGTATTCATGTTTAAGCATATTGGAAGAAGTAAGATGTATGTCTCATGTCTTGTTAACCACATGCACACAATTTTGACCAGCTTGTTGAAGCACATACATAGTCAAGGTGCAGGGGGAGATTATGGGAGGTGTGCAGGGGGTACAAACCCCCCCTTCCCATTTCTTTTTCTGCCAACGACGATCTAGAATTAACCAGTAGTATTGCTAAAATTGAGAATTGCTTATCTGATCTTGATAAGTGGATGGCCTTGAATAAGCTGAAACTAAACAAAGACAAAACTGAACTTCTCTACCTTTACTCAAAGTATAACCCTCAACAGTCTCTACCTCCACTTCATTTTGGTTCTGATATAATTCAGCCGTCCTCATGTTCCAGAAATATCAGTGTCGTTTTCGATAGTACTATGTCAATCCTCCCTCATGTCCAATCTGTTTAATTGTAAATCTGCCTTCTATCATCTTCGGAACATTTCCCGTATAAGGAAATTACTATCCGCTAAGACCACTGAGACTTAAGTCCATGCCTTTGTAACCTCCAAGTTGGATCACTGCAACTCTCTTCTATAATTATGGTGTTCCGAAATATGTTATTAAAAAGCTCCAATCAGTGCAGAATGCCACAGCTCAACTTATTACAAGCTCCTGTAAATTTGACCGCATAACCCCTATTTTATTCGACCTGCACTGGCTTCCAGTTTGCGAGCGAATCAAATTCAAAATAATTCTGCTCACCCACAAAGCTCTTCACCAGCAGTCTCCTCTCTGTATTCAAGACCTGATATGTCGTTATTCGCCTTCAAGAATGCTCCAGTCATCTTCAACATTGTGCGGCCTGTCTCCTGTCAACTTTAATCTCTAGTCTTACGGCTATAGATCTTTTTCTGTTTCGGCTCCTGACCTGTGGAACAAACTACCTGATGACATTCATTCTTGTGACAATTTAAATCTCTTTAAACGTAAACTTAAGACTTATCTTTTTAAAAATTATTTTAATATGCATGAATTCTCTTCTTAACCATGTCTAGCGCCTAGATATTAGACACCCGTTTTTTGTAACTATTTAAATCTCTGTTAACGTAAACTTAAGACTTACTTTTAAAAATTAAGTCAATATCTATATTTCTATTTTGTAAAGGACTTAGATCAGGTCTGGATAAACGCTATATATTAAGTAGTTCTGTTATTATTATTATTATTCCCTGAGATGGCCTGTGGCCTCCTTGTTAAACTTTAGAGTCATACAAAATCTGCTATATTGTTTGCTATGTATTCTCAGCAGTTCACATTATGTTCCTGCTTACGCATAAGCCTTCTTTGTTGTTGGCTTTTGAAATTTGTTAGCATCACCTGCCAGTTATGTCATTTCCTACAGGTACACCCACCCCTAGGCAAAAAATCCTGGATCTGACCAGCTAGCTCTTACACACCGGCTACTTACATGCTAGTCTTAGATCTGTGTACAAGGACACTTTTAAACAAATAAGTGCTATCGTGGATATTTTTGTGTGGGTCAATTATGGATGTTTGATCATGGGTGAATCCTCTGGAACTTCCCCCATTTCTACTTAAATTATTTAAATATTCCTGATTTAAGCAGTTCTGTCATAGTTTCCAGGGGTTCTGGCCTACAATATGTCAAAAAGTGCTGTGGATCAACTAACAAGGTGTGTGGCTCTTGGTGAGTTCCTCTATTTATATATTTATTTAATATAATTGTGCAAAAAGGTTTTGCACACTGTGTAATCTGCTTTTAGAGGATGCCCCATATCAAGTGGACACTTGCTCAAGTACCTCAATCCCCCCACCCTACCCC